ATCGTTTCAGCCTCCCGTCCACACTGAGACGGTGTTTTCGCTGATGGAAAACGCAGCGTTTTCAAAACGCTCCTGAAAACGCATGCATTTGAAAACGGTGCTTTCGCATCGCAGTGTGGACAGTGAAAACGCAGACTTTCTAAAACGATGACGCATGTTAGTCATGTGACCAATGAAACTCAGATAGCGGAGGGCATTACACAGCAGTTGTTTTGTTTGCTCTCAGTTTTGACAGCCCTATTAAAGATTAATATCAGTCTGTACATGCTCCAGATAGCTTTTCTTCAAATTCTTCAACTCTGTCTCGCTTTTGCAACTTTGTACTTTTGTGTTACTCGCAGCAACACCTCCACCTCATTGTTAGTCCATTTAAAAAAACTTGGTGCTTTTCCTCAACATTTTGCCACGACGTTTCAAAGAGCTGGAAAGTAAATAAATGGCAGACAGAAATGAGGCAGGTCGAATCTTCTTGTGTTTCACGCATTCGCAGTACTGGAACGTAAGCGTTTTCACCCGTTTCAATGTGGACGCGCAACTGTGTGAAAACGTGGAGCATTTTCAGATAAAAACACAGTTTTCAAATCTATCCGGGCTAGTGTGGACGTAGCCTAAGTGTGCCTCCTCGCAAACATCCATTGAGCAGTGTTGGAATTAACATAACAAAGTGACTTGTTGGATCTTTTCAGTTGTCCCACAAAAAAAAGCTGCTGGAATATCAGGTGTGGAAAAACCTCCAAACCGCTGACCCTTTCTGCAAACACACTCCCCTCCTGACCCCCACTGTTTCCTTGTCCATCTTTTAGGAGCTTCATAAATATAAAGAAAACGAAAAAGACACAGAGGTGCTGATGTCAGCGCTGTCAGCCATGCAGGACAAGACCCAGCACCTGGAGAACAGCCTGAGTGCAGAGACCAGGATCAAACTGGACCTCTTCTCTGCACTCGGGGACGCCAAGAGGCAGCTGGAGATCGCACAAGGTTCACAAAAGTTCGCCGTCCTCAGAGTTGTTCGTTTTTGTTTTAAACGTCTCAGGCTGACTTGTTAAAATCTGTTTTCAGGTCAGATCCTGCAGAAGGACCAGGAGATCAAAGACCTGAAGCAGAAGATAGCGGAAGTGATGGCCGTCATGCCCAGCATCTCCTACACAGCCGACACCAGCAGCATGACCCCCGTGGCCCCCCACTACTCCTCAAAGTTTATGGACACCAATCCCTCCAGCCTGGACCCCAACGCCTCCGTTTACCAGCCTCTCAAAAAGTGAACGCCTCCCCCGCCCTTGCCCTCGCCCCCGTCCCCTCCACCTCGCCATCCATCTTCCTGTCCTTTTTACTGCTCCTGCAGGCCCGCAACCTCACGGCTGAGAACCTGAGGGTTTTTTTTTTTGTTTTTGTTTGGTTTTTTGGTTTGGTTCTCTGCTCGCCAGGTCAGAAGGATGTTGTATTGTGTGACTGTATTTGTTGTAGTTAAAACAAAAGAAAACTTAAAAAACAAACAAACTTGAAAATCCCACATCAGCTAGGAAGCCCCAGTTTTTCTTTTAAGCGTCTAGTGAAACCTCACAGAATCGAGGATCGCTCTCACTCCTCACCTCCGGGGAGCAGTTGCTGTATTTTTCTTTTCTTTTTGGGTTTATCATTCCCTCCACAAACTGGAAAACAGAGCCCTCCGTGATTCTACAGCCTGACTTGTAATCCAAATTAATTTTAACAGCTGTTCTCCCGAGATAGCATCAGAGGAATGTAATGCACTCATGACACCAACTCAAACCTCTTTTATTTAAAAAGAAAAAACAATTTGGACACCAAATTGACCCTGCTCTAAGCTGCGCTGGTGGTAAACAGTTTTTAAGCTGTCTAAACTGGATTTGTTCTTGGTTTTTTGTTTGAAAGGGGGTAAAAAGTGACAGCAGTTTGGTTTCCCCTCTTCATTCCCACACCCGGTTGCAGAAACAAGTCTGCTTTCCACTGCTCTGCATAATCCTGCATCACGATTCATGATCACAGTGCCTTGAGTTGAGGACACGAGTTTAATGAGATGCTGCCCGAACCTTCCGAATGCGTTGAAGCATCTGGCTAAGCTGGAAGAGATCAGTTTAGTGGGACTAAAAGCACAGATTTGTTGATCGTTGTGCTCTCTGGAGGGCAGCCTTGTAATAAAATCACTCTGATATGTTTGACAGCAACATATTCGAGTCACTCTGACAGACGAACCCCCAAATGCTTTGGTTTAGCTGCTGCCCCCTTCTTTTCTTTTCTCACCGTGGAAAGCACACGTTGCTGTTTGAAAGGGAAAACTGTAAAGATGGACTGTGCAATGTAAAAAAAAAAAAATTTAAAAAAAGGAGTTGAGTTAATTTAATTAACTTCCACTTTGGTTTGTGTGCCAAGACTGGAATTCCTGTGTTGAAGAATGTACTGTGAACGCATTGGCTCACACCTTAACAGCGGTTTCTGTTAAGGAGTCTATGGGCAGTGGTGACTGTGGTGTAGTAGTGGAAGGTGTATAGTTGACAGTAAGGGACTAGAACTTTCGTGAATGTCACCGTATTTGCAGCGTCTGGCGAGTGGCTGGTTTTTCTTTTCCTCCCGTTTCTGCTCTTCTCGCAGTTTTCCCGCAGGGAGAGAAGAAAGTTCTCGAGTCTGATGTGGTTTCACCATCATTGTCGTGCGTGTGGTTTTCACCTTACTGTGTATGGAGACGCTTGTTTTTTCTTTTTCTCACTCGCTCAGATTGCTGTCATTGGCTTCTTGGAAAATGTTGTGACAAATTTACATTTTAGTTGGTTGTTTGTTCAGCTGAATGTGGAAAGAATAGATTTTGTTTTTGTTTTCTTTGCCCAAAGTCACAGTTCGGTTGCCCCCCTCCCTCCCTCCCTCCCCCTCCTCCAGGTCTGACCTTGGCTGCGCTCTCGCTCTGTGAGGTTTACAAGAAATAAACATTTTTTTTTTCTTGCAAACTGACTTCTCTCTTCTTGGTGTTATTAATTTAACGTGTTTGCAGAGGTAAAACCAACTTGACAGCTTTGATGCATTTCAGTTTGCCTCGGCTCGATCTCTCGATGTTTAAAATATTAAACCTCAAAGCTGCTGTGTGCTCTTCAGGCGCACTTTGCCTCAGTTTCATCAGTTTGTGTATTTGTTTTAAAAAAACTCTCTGAGGGTCCATGCAGCTTTTTAAAGGTGTACACTTTCACCCTCTTAGTTGAACTCACAGCAATCTGCACAAAAAATATTTGGAGCTTTCTTCTTTTGTGGTTTTGCCTCTGTTACAACACCACAGTGGATTTTAAACCAAACAATCAAGATGTGATTTAAGTGCGAACTTTCAGCTTTAAGGGGTTTAATTAAAGTTTTGCATAAACTGTTCAGGAATTACAGACATTATATACAGTCCCCCATTTTCAGAGGCTCAGGCATTAGACTGACGGGGGTCTGACAGAGAGGTGAGTTCAGTTTTGTCGTTTCATGACAAATTAAGCAGATAAAATGATCGGGAGTCGATTCCAGGTCACTATGACGTCCAAAGAGATGTCAGCGCAAGTGAGAGAGGCCAACATGAGAGGAAGAACTACAGAAAGGGCCAATTTAAGAGTCTGAATGCACTGACCAACTCGGATAAAAGAAGAAGAAAACTAAAGTGCATGATCACAGAATTCTTTCCATGGTAAAGACAAACATGTTGTAGTTGCATCATTGTCAAAGTGGACAGTCAAAAGATACAGTTACAGTTATAAAGTTACACTGACAAACACGAAGAACAGATTAAACTTTGCCAGGAAAAGAAAATCCTAAACAGTTCAGAACAAGAATATTTGGAGGGATGAAACAAAGATGAACTTGTACCAGAGTTATATGAAAAAGGACCAAAGCTGCTCATGCACATGTCTGCCAGTGTGAATGGGTGATGAGCCAAAGCAAACAGGAAAAGCAACCTGAGTTTCTCAAAGGAAAGGAACGGCAAATTCTTCAGTTACATAATCTCAAACCAACACGGCAGCGTTTCATTTAATAAACAGAAAACTGAAGGCTGAGATCTGAAACAGTGTAAAAACTTGCTGTGGCCCCTTTGTTATTTTGGAGTTTGCCCAAATGCACCATCTCCCTTTTACCACTAGAAGGCAGTGTCAGTCTGATCAGTGATCACTTCTCTCCACACGTGTTCTGCTCATTCACTCTGCAAATAATCATTATAATTCCCTCTTTTTAAGACCATAAATCACATTTTATTCTGATAAAATAGTTGGTTATTATTATTATTTATGGTAATAATTTGAGATGGACATTCTTTGGCCACAAAAAGAGGGAAAAGCTGGTCATTAAAATGATCATTTCTTGCAGGACCGGATGAGTCGTTTCTCTACCTAAATATGGACACGTGAGGGGTGCCTTTGCTTTCCTGACCTTTGGCCCTGGAAGTTCATTCAGATCAGGAATGACACTTCCTGAGGGTTGTGGGGATTAAGATTCCCGCTGTCAACGTCAAGCACCCCTAATTTCAAACAGAAGCCCTCTCAGGACCCTGTCACGTGCCAAGCTTCCTGAGATATGTTTGATCACCCCGTGCATTGAGACTAACTGTGCTTAGATTGGTAATAAATCAGTTTTTAAACCCATCTGCTCCACGCTCTTCCACTTCCTGTTTAACAGGGTCAAACATGTGGAACTGGCAAATTATGATCATTAGAAATTGCCCACAGTGCCATTAAGCATCTGAAATCTACAGTTAATCCTCCCGTTTGAAGGGAATGAGGCATAAAGGAGATAAAATGCAGATAAAGCTTCTCTTGAGTTACTCGGTTTGACATTTTTTTCCTTGATTGACAACACTTTCACCCTAAAGGATTAGAAAAAGATTATTTTTGCAGACGATCACTGAAGCTTTGGTGAGCTTGCAGCAGAAACACTCCCATGCTTGCTCTGAGGGTTGCTTGCTTGTGTTTGTCCTCATGCATAATTAAACTGTGTGTGTTTTGGCTCTTATACTCACCTTCAGAGTGAAGAACCAAAACATGCGTCTTCTCTCCCCTCTGGCAGAAACTCTCTGATCTTTCTTCTCCAACTAGTACTGCTGCTTCCTTAAAAGCCAGGCTTCGTGCTGCATGCTTCAGTTTACAGTCACTCTCTTTGTCACATTGCATGGAGGCACAGTTGTATCTGCTAACAAAGAAACAGTGATTTAAAAGGAATTCACCTGCCTGAGCACAGAGGGACTTAAAGCAGTGATCAGTCTCTCTAGAAACTATTTTTTTATGCTGTGTTGTAACTTAAAACTGAGCTTTAGATTGAAGATTGTGGAGCGCTTGCCCAATATGCACCTGAGGACGCTGTGGCCAGTTAAACTGTCATCTCCCATGAGATCTGGTACTGCTGGATTTTTTTGCGAGCCAAACCCTCGAGTGATTCACACACAGGGCGGTGATGTAAGCTCGGTGAAACTCACCAGAGAAATGTAGCTCTGCGACTACAGGAACCAATATGAGACAACATTTCTAATGTCAATCAGCATGTTTGCTAGAGATGCTCTGCACTGTATTTTATCTGGGCCTCAAAAATGATTGAGGTTAGAAAAAGAGTCCACTTTTTGGTTTCACTTTCTCTCAGAAAGTGTTCACATTGGGGTTTTTTCATCACAAGGAAAGATTACACCAGTCTACAGTCATAATGCATCTGAAGGAACTTTTCTGAGTCAGTGAAAAAGACAAATAATGCTTAAAGTTTGTGGTTGGGTTTAGTTTTGATGGCATGCTCCTGGATCATTTCTTAAATGAAACCAGAAATGACTAAAACACACCTCTGAGTTTTTGCAGCAATGGCCGAAATTGCCATTACCAGTACAAATCTTCACATGGCCACTCTGTTGTGTTGATATTGGTCTTGTATGAATTCTAAATGCAATTATCTGTTTGACTTTTGACTTCTTCTGTTTGGCCTTGGATTTGACCTTCCTGGTAGCAGGAAAAAGTACATATGAAATCGCCTATTTTATATACAAAGCAGGCAGCTTCTGAAAAGATGTTGACCAGTGTAATAAAACCAAGGGTCACGAAGGGTGAATTTTAAATTTCAAATGTCAGAATTGTTGCTGGATCTTCGCAGAAGTCTTATCCATGGAGCTAACTTTGGAGAAAACCAAAGAAGAACAATAAAGGGGTCAGAGGTCATAGAGGTTTGTTAAATTCACTCTTGAGCATCACTGCCAGTTAAAGGTTTTCACCAAAAAATATTTTTTTTGAATTTTGGGGGCAACTTTTTGTTTATAATAGCCGGTTGCGGCAGATTGCTGCCACTGTCTGAGCCTGGTTCTGTGGAGGTTTCTTCCTGTTAAAAGGGAGTTTTTCCTTCCCACTGTTGCCAAAGCACTTGATCACAGAGCATCATCTGATTGTTGGGGTTTCTGTTTTTTTCTGTATTATTGTATGGTCTCTACAATATAAAGCGCCTTGAGGCAACTGTTGTTGTGGTTTGGTGTTATACAAATGAACTGACTTGATTTATATTTTGTGGAAAGTTTTCAGATTCATCAGTTTAATTTATTGAAACACACACTATGAGACTACTTTATGATGCTCTTTATAACCGCCTCTTTCTGTCCTTGAAAATTCCCAGAACATACCTTTAACTATTAACTATCGTTAAATGTGTGGCCTGGGGGGGCCAGAACTGGCCCAACAAAGGGTCCAATTCGACCCAAGAGATTTCTCGAAAAGTGTGAAAAGGGCACAAAGAAGGACATAAATTTTGTCCTTTTGTTTTGCCTTTCTTACTGACAAAGACACAATTTGTGGCCTGGTATACTATACCAAAGTAAGAAAGAGATCAACCAAAACATGAAGAACACTTCCTACTTTTCACTATTTTGTGTGGAAGTTTGATTTTCTTTGATTTACTTTAGTGGCATTTCTTTATTAAAAACATGGGCGTATTATTGAACGTGCACTTCTTCTTTTTAAGAATCTCAGACATTAAATATGGACACATATAGTTAAACTTCCTTACCCTGACAGAAAGCAGAACATGTTGGAAGTGTTTATAGGTTATTAGTTTATAACCACAAGGTTATAGGTTATTTTACCCATCTGAGCCACTTGAGATCAAACTGGGCAGTGTGTAAGTTATGATGTAAAATGTGTTTAACAGCTCTGATTTAGAGTTAAGTAGTGGTTGATCTGACTTTTAGAAGAAATGTGAAGAATTTCTTTCTGAAACTGAGCTGGAATAGGAAGTACTAAAGTACTAAAACTAACGTGTTCACATGATTTTAAAGGAGTACTTCAAGGAACACTACTGGTTCATCCACAGCTTTAAGAACTCCAGCTTCAAAACTTTCTGTCACTTGCATGAGAAAATCAGTTTTCATGCTAAGAAATAAAAGAAAATTGTGTTAAATAACTGGAGACACCAAAATTTTCTGTAGAGACAGAATTATTATCAAGTCCGCAGTGGAAAGATGGCTTTCTAATCTAAGCAAAGACTCACTGATGCAACGTGCTTCCTCCATACTGCAACAGTTCACTGTAGTGCAGAATACGGGGTCAAAGGTTACATTAAATCAGCCGCAGTAAAATCTTGTGTTTAAACTTTAATAACCACCTCTAGTGAAAACCAGTTTAGCCCAAAATACAAGCTGAGATGGGCATTTTGTGTTGCATGTGGCTGATGGATGTCTGTGGTTTGCTGCAAAAGTTCATGACTGGGCTTCCTGTGCAAAACAGGAATTAAAAGTGTTGGCATGACTGCAAAATGAAAAACAGGCACAGATTTATCCCTCACAACAATAAAGCATCGCAGTTTAGACTTGTGCTGGACGGAGGAGCGTGCTCACTTTTTGAGAACACTTTGTTTACTTTTAGATTATAACATTGTAACAAATTGTTTTAAAGAAAGGAGTTCCTCAGGGAATACTATTGGGTCCTGCTTTAACAACTTTAGCGAGATTAGTGCAAAAAAAAAAAAAATCACAGTGATATATAAAATTATAACTTACTCATTTATATAACAAAAAAACATTTTTGTTTTTCATCCAGGGTTTGCTAACCTGGATGAAAACGTATTTGTATCATGTTTGGATTAAACTACAGTATATATTATTGTACAATCTACTGTACAATATAAAGCGCCTTGAGGCGACTGTTGTTGTGATTTGGCGCTATATAAATAAAATTGAATTGAATAGAATAGGTTTACAAGAAACTGGACGCCAACCAAAGATGGAAAAGTCACCAGGACCACTAAGGGGGCAAATTTGGCTGGCTGACTGTTCAGATCCCTCCCCTGAGGGGTGTGTGGCTGCACTTTTTCCCCCCTCATAGCCAAGAGCACAGGTGTAACAACTCTGTGACTGACCTTGATGCACCAGAGCAAACCCATCTCCCTATATAACAAACACTCAGTCACAGAATTCCTCATTCCAGATACATCTAGACACATCACACAGACACACCTTAAAGTATGAGTATATATTTTTAACTTGATGTGGTAACAATGTTCCAGTCCTTTACAAAAACACAGATGACTCACCCATCAGAGCTTCATCTTTCAGGCCTCGCGCTCACAGAGTCATAGACGGCACTGCTCAAGTCCAAAGTCCCAGGGGTGCACTCGTCCTTCTCCTTTCTCTCCTTCCTCTTTTCAGCAACAGGTTTTTTTGTTTTGCTTGCTAAAGATAATTTAAAATACCACTTCCCCAGCTAATTACTCTGTAAGCCATTTGCCAAAAAAAAAAAAAACTAATAAATTGCTGCATAGTGGAAGTCACCCGGGTTTGTGAGCATTTTGCACAAATGACAGGGAGCAAGGTCAGGAAGTATGAGTAAGATATTTTCCAGCATGCCCCACTGCCATTAAAACCTTTCTGCAAAGGAGTGTGGAGTGTAAAATGACCGTGAAGTGACACCATATCTATCTATCTATCTATCTATCTATATTTGTGTCATTGTTTGGCTGTTTGTGTGTGCAGGTATGTGTCTTCATTTGGCTTTTCCTGTAATGTGTCACATATTCTGCTGTAGTAAACCCCATCAGCATGACTTCTTGGGCTTGAGCTTTAAGAAGAAGAATGCAAAAACAAAAGGAAGGTACTGGGAGCTCATTATCTGGACATGTCCTGCGATTATAAAACTTAAATTTTGTGTTTATTTATCAAAGATTTTCTATTTTTTTACTGTGGACTCACTGTAAAGGCCTTTACACACTTGACGCTTAAAATTCATGCAAATATTTGAATATTAATATATGATTTTATGATCTTAACAATAAACTAATAACAATAAGAAGCGATTTTTCCAATCCAAATAAACAAATGTGACCAATCAGACCACTGCATTTGGCAACATGTACACTGCAGTCCAAAACACCACCGGTACTGAATACACAAATAATAAAATTATACTATTTTGCCTGAGACACACAGCTAGACATTCCAGGTCAATTGGCTATAAAATTTGACAGTTTAATGGTTTGTTTCTACTTCCTTAATAGTACGCCAGACAGATATGCCATTTGTCTTCTTATGGTATGTCAGAATAAAGGCTATAAAAGCAAACAAACAAAAATACAGTTCAAATTTTTTGACCTCTTGCTTGCAGAGGGCCCAGTGGCGCCAGTGTCCGGCAGCCTCGCCTCTGTCAGTG